TTTTTATTTTTTTTATTTTGTTACCGATGGTGTGGAACCAATATTCAAAGCCTGTATAGTGAGACTTGTTTAAGTTAAATTTGTGAAGAATCCTATTAAATTTGTGAAGAATCCTTACCTTGCATTATTAGTTGGGAATAGTTTGTTACTCATGTTGGATTGAGAATTTGAGTGTGGAAAAGTTGTTCAAAAATTAGTTGGAAATTTAATAAAAAAATTTGTCGTCTCCTAGGAGAACCATACCTAATTTACAAGACCTTATTTACAGTTGGGGATTGGATTTTTCATGGGTCAAAAACTTAGATACTAACTCACACTTTTTAAGTTGTATTCTTAAAATAAAATAAAAAAAGTTAAGCATTCTTAAGTTAAATTTTAATATTTCTCTCCAATCTTGAGCCATTAGAAATTGTGTTGTTATCCGTAGGTTTATGAAAAGAAGTTAGTCTAACTTTTTGTCCTAATTTCTACAGGATTAAACTTTGTCTATTTGTACTAATTTACAAATTTGTTTAAAAAGTATATTGGAGAATGAATAAGGATTGGATTAAGCTTAGGGATACATTCGCAATACATTATATAGGAGGAGTTGCACAATTTTTAGAAGTGGCAAAGTGCCATGTAAATCATGGGAAAACAAAATGCCCATGTAAGAACTGTCAGAACTCAATGGCACAATCATTGGACGGAGTAGAACGGCATTTATTTACATATGGAATATCTCATTCATATAGTGAATGGATTTATCATCGAGAACCAGCCAACTTAGCTCGATTTCAAAGAGACCCAACTTCTGCCGTAGATGATGAATTAACTAGAGAGTGTAATACTATTAACAATGTTGACATTRAGATGCTTGATCTTCTAAATGATTTGAAAGGGGAAGAGGATGTAGATGATGAGTCGGATTATGAAGATGAACCGGAAGCTAATGTTGATGAAAGAGATACTTCAAACAATCTTGAGGAGTTGATGAATGAAGCATGTAATCAGTTGTACCCTGGTTGTACAAAATTTTCCTCGTTGAACTTCTTGGTGAAGTTGATGAATATGAAGGTGTTCAATAATTGGAGTAACAAATTGTTTGATATGTTACTAAAATTTTGAAAGATGCATTTCCACCCGGTACATCTATTCCTTGTTCATTCTGTGAATCTAAGAGAAAGCTACGTGACTTAGGGCTAAGATATAAGTCAATTTATGCTTGCAAGTACGATTGTATATTATTTTGGAAAAAATTTRCTGATTATCAAAGTTGTCCAGTATGTGGTGAGCCCCGATATAAAATAAATGATGGAAAAGGTAAGAAGATTCCACATAAGGTTTTACGTCATTTTCCACTAATACCTAGGTTGAAGCGATTGTTTTCATCAAAATATTTTGCTTCTGAAATGAGATGGCATAAAGATAAACGAGTCGAAACTGATGGTGTGTTACGACATCCAGCTGATGTTGTAGGGTGGAAACACGTAGATAGGAAGCTTCCTCATTTTGCTTCAGAACCAAAGAATGTTCGGTTAGGATTAGCTTCTGATGGATTTAATCCTTTCGGGAATATGAATAATTCCTACATCATGTGACATGTGGTGCTTGTTCCATATAATTTACCTCCTTAGAAGTGCATRAAAGAATCTAATTTTTTCATGTCTCTGCTCATACCTGGACCGAAATCTCCAAGAAAAGAAATTGACGTGTATTTGATTGCACAACTGGGGAGTACTTTCGACTACACGCATGTTTGTTGTGRACTATTAATGACTTTCCTGCATATGGAGACTAGTTAGGATGGAGTACAAAGGGTTATCAAGCTTGTCCTATTTGTAAAAAACATACACCATCATATAGGATAAGAGGAAAAATCTCTTTCATGGGACATCGGCGATACCTTCCACGTAATCATAATTGGCATAAGAGTAAGCAACATGATGGTAAGTTTAAGCATAGACCTCCATCGATTGTAATGGATGGAAATCAAATCCTAGAACAAGTAATTGCGCTAAACTTTCTTGTGTTATGTAAACATCCATCCAGAAAAGATAAGAAAATGAAGGTATTATTAACTAGACTAAAAAAAGTATATTCTTCGAACTTCCTTATTGGTATAAACTTATGTTAAGACACAAGCTGGATGTCATGCATATTGAAAAAAACGTATGTGACAACTTGCTCGGGACTTTGATGAACATTGAGGGAAAAACAAAAGACATGACAAAAGCTCGTTTAGATCTTGATAATTTAAATATACGGAAGGACTTACACTTGAAAAAGCAAGGAACTAAAGTGGTAAAACCACATGCTGCATATACATTTACAACCAGTGAAATGGTGGCTTTTTGTAAGTTCTTGAAATCGGTTAAATTTCCTGACGGGTTTGTTTCAAACATATCATAGTGTGTTAGTGTGAATGATGGAAAAATATGAGGGTTGAAAACTCATGAGTCTCATATTCTTCTCCAACGATTTAATCCTATTGTTGTTCGAGCATACTTACGAAAGGATGTTAGTACATCTATTGTTGAGTTATGTAATTTCTTTCGGGATCTATGTGTGAAGGTAATCCCCATCAATGATTTGGACCGATTGCAAACAGATATTGTACTTATACTTTGTAAGTTCGAAAAAATATTCTCACCGGCGTTTTTTTTTTTATGTAATGGTGCATCTTGCAGTTCACTTGCCGTATGAAACAAAGGTTGTAGGTCCAGTTAGCTATAGTTGGATGTAACCTATTGAGCGAAGCTGACAGACATTGAAACACTATGTACGAAACAAATCTCGTCCGGAGGGTTCCGTAGCCGAAACATTCATCATGAAGGAATCTTTAACCTTCTGCTCCTTGTATAGAACTAGAATAGAAACAAGATTCAATAGGGATGAACGTAATGATTACTCGATTCCAAGTGGTGAAATTTATAGGCATTTTGAAGTGTTCAAACAATGCGCACGACCATTGGGGGGTTCAACTGTAAGGACGCTATCTGAAAATGAGAAACGAATGACACATCRGTATATATTAAACAACTATTCAAATATAGCATCTTATCACACGTACATTTTTAAGTACATATATGTCTTTATAAATTTCAAGTTCGATATATCAAGGCCAAATTTTCTACATTTCTATTCTTTATTATTCCAATATAGGCAACATTTGAGATTGATTCGATTAAGCTCAGACAACACATCAAACTTATATAGAAGGCACCAATTACAATTTCCTGATTTATTTAGAGCTCATGTAAGTATGCTTATCAATAATTAAAATTATACTTCAATAATGAGTTAAACTAATCTGTACAACGTTAACAGATGTACTCATTTCGTGAAAGAGGAGAAACCTCTGATGATATCTACTCGATAGCATTGGGGCCTGCTAATCAAGTTTGCTCATATAGTAGTTGCATTGTCAATGGTGTGTGTTTTCACTATATAGAGCGTGACAATCGTCAGGTTACACAAAATAGTGGAGTCATGGTGCCTGGAGAAATTGAAGAAGATGAAATGAATTACTATGGTGTACTGCATGAGGTTCTGGATTTAGAATATATAAAAAGGAGACGTGTGATTGTTTTCAAGTGTATATGGTTTGACACATATGCCAAGAAGAAAAGAATAAACATGAATTTAGAGTTTACCTCAATTAACACATCACATTATTGGTATACGGATGACCMTTACATCCTTGCTATCCAAGCCAAACAAGTTTTTTATATTAACGATCCTAAGCTTGGTTGTGATTGGAAGGTTGTGCAAGTTGTTCCAAACAAACAAGTATGGGATGTTCTAGAAGATGGAGACCTAGAAAATGATGAAACGGAGTTGTTAGAAATATCTGGTGCAATTGAGGTTGATGAATCAATCCTGGATGCTCTATTATGTAGAGATGACGTTGACCCTAGTGTTGTTGTACGTGAAGATATTYTACAACAGTTGAATAAGAGTGTACCATCCTCAAATGAAGATGAATTTATAAATGATGAGTCGGAAGATATTGAAGTATCTACTGAAAATAGTTCAAGTTCACATCAACATTTAGATTCCAATGATGAAGATAGTGAATAAGTGTATCAACTTATGCATTTAAATTTCGTATTTCATAATCAAATGTTCATGTACGTTGAGATTCATTTTGCATCCCATGTTATCTTACAGAGTCATGGTGGGTCTAGGTCAAAAGCAGGATGCAGCTGCCGTTAACCAGATGGCTCGCCTTACGAATATCAATTATGCATCAGGTAATTATTTATAACATATGAACATTTACGTATCATAACATATGAACATTAGGTATGGACTAAACATAACCTAAATTTTAGGCTCTAAATCGAAAAGAGAACGTGCCTATGGACCTAAAGGAGTGCGTACGAGAAAACACAGCCGAGGTATTAGTTTGGACCGCTATGTCCAAAAGCATGGGAGGATACCTATTGAGATTATTGATGAGTTTAGAAAACCAATATGTCCCTTCACAACGAGGTTTAGTGGTGCCATTGGTACCGTCACATGAGATAAAATTTCATTGCGATGTGAAAACTGGCATGAGGTACCACAAGAAGATCGGGATGCGGCTAAGGATGGACTATTGGTAATTTTATGCATCTTGGTACGTTTTGAATCGTGAATTGAAGCTTACACATTTATTATTAACTATGCAGGAACGTTTTCGAGTGGATTTATCGAAGAGAGTTGTTAATAAATTCATAGAGCGACAGATGCAAACATCGTTCAAGCAATATCGATCATATTTGCATCAATACTATTGTGAATTCAAAGATCTCGTAGAAGCCCGCGCAAACCCACCGGAAAGGCTAACTAATCTAGAAGATTGGAATCATCTATGTGATAGATGGGAGACCCCTGAGTGGAAGGTATGTTTTGTTGTAAGTTTAGTTCTACTATATCTAACTCATTTAATTTAACTTCTACTGATCAATTCATTGTTCTAGGAAATTACAAAGAAGAACAAAAACAATCAAGCAAAGCTCCCTTACAACCATCCAGCTGGTTCCAAGTCATTCCTTCAATTACAACATGAATTGGTAATTAAGGTGTAACTCATTATTCTTTTATACCTTATCTCATTATTATGACTAGTAAATATGTATATTTGAATTGTAGAAAATGAAATAAGGTTCTGATGTTGGTCCGGTGGATTTGTTCCGCGAGAATCATTACAATGAAAAGGATGGATGGGTGAATGATAATGCAGAAGATGCATATGTAAGTTTGATTTTGTCATTATTGCGTAGATTTATTAATTCATGTATACATTATTTAATAACCCAATTCAACTATAAATGTAGGAGAACATGCAAAATTTGATTAAAGCACCAACGGAAGAAGGATGTGAACCAATAACGCTACCAGAGGCTTGTAGAAAAGTTTTAGGTGATCAACAAGACCATGTTAAAGGTCTTGGTTATGGCCCACAACCCACCCCGTGCAGAAGAGGCTCATAATCTAATGTGACGTCTTCTACCTTGTAAGAAAATGAGTTGGAAAAGAAACTAGAGGACATGGAAGTTGAGATGAGAGAGATGAAGACAGAAAATCAAAGATTGAAGGAGTCAATGTCAACGTGGGAGGATAAATGAAATGAGATCTCAAGGATTATGGCTGGGTTTATGGCTGGAAGGCAAGGAGATGGACCATCGAACAACTAGGTATGTATTAGCAACTACATATTCACTTTGTTTAGACATTGTATGACGATCCTGCAGTTATGGTCGTCACATCGCATGCATGTAGTAGGCTTATTAAATCAAGTGCATTGTCATGTGGTTATCCTGCTGTTATGGTAGTCACTTCAACTTCATGCATGTAGTATATTTATAAGATTAATTGCATTGTCGTGTGGCTATCTTGCATTAATGGAAGCTAGCCCGTTTATTTTGGGGTGGGCTAGACGCATTTACGACACTTACATAACTTAGACACTTTTAAACCCATTTGAAGCTAGTTTATGGACCGAAATGACGTGTAGGAGCTTTAAAGACATTTACGTAACTCTGGGGGTGGTCTAAGTGCATTAGGCACGCCTCAAGGCATGTTTGATTTCAGTTTGGCATCCATAGTTCATTTAGATGCCATTTAGCCTTTTTTTCTACTTTCTATTTTTTAGGAGTTTTAAAGACAGGTAGGTTTGTGGGGTGGTTTAAATGCAATACGCTTGCCCCCATGGTTCATTTAGTTGCCGTTCAACCACTTTTTTTGTTTTTTTTAGCTACTTTCAACTTTCTAGGAGTTTTAAAGAAACTTATGTAGCTTTGAGGGTGGTTTAAGTGCATTAGGCTTGTCTAAGACAAGTTCCGTTTAAGTTTACACATTTATTGTTCACTTAGTTGTCGTTTAGCCACTTTTTCTTCCTACTTTCCACTTTCTAGGAGCTTTAAAGACACGTAGCTTCAAGGGGTGGTTTAAGTGCCTAAACCAACCGAAGGCATGTTTAATTTTAGTTTGCACTTCATGTTTCACTTAGTTACCGTTTAGCCACTTTTTTTTGCTACTTTCTACTTTCTATGAGCTTTAAAGATGCTTATGTAACTTCGAAGGGTGGTTTAGCATTAGCCTCACCTCAATAGTTTAGTTTCCATAGTTCATTTGGTTATTGTTTAGACACATTTTTTGGCTACTTTCTAGGTTGTTCTAACCACTTGAATGTCTTTTTTTTTATTTATTATTATAATTTTTTTTACAGAAATACCGAGGTGAAAGGAAATTTTGAAGCCTCATATTGGAGTTAAACACTTAAAATGACATTTTTTTTTGTATTGGTGTCATTTTGGAGGCTCAATTGAAGCTGAACACTTGAATATCATTTTTTTTTTTAGTGGTGGAGGCTCATTTTGTAGTGAAACTAACTTGGAAGTGGGTAGAAGGCTTTTAGATTAATTATTWTTTTTTACATGTATTTTTGATACTTGCTAATAAAAATGTACTACAAATTTCTTTTGTAGAAGAATATTTGTAGCTTAATGAATTAGCATATTATTTTTGTGGAATGATACTATTTATAATATTTTAGGTTTCAATACATAGAACTWTCCGGTATTAGAAAATATAAACTAACATAATAAAATATAAAAAAAAATTATATGCATTTTTTGGGACGCAATAAGGTGTCGACATAAATATGGTAACTAGGGGTTCTGCCACTTTTTGCCAAAGGGTCTCTGCCGACACCTATAAGGTTCTAAATATGATACTTTTACCGACGCTTTCGTAAAACGTCGGCAAAAGTTAGTGCTAAGCCAACGATATGTAAAGGTCGACAAAGGGTCATTTTTTTGACGCCATTGTAAAATGCATCGGGAAAGATTAGAGATCTACCGACATTGAAGATGCGTCGGCAATAGTGTACTTTTTCCGATGCTATGTAAAAAGCGTGGGAAAAACATACGCCGACAGGCCTACGTCGACGCTTTCGCCTACGCTTTTACCTTCRTCGCCATGGACTTTTACCGRCGCTTAAAGGGTCTTTCTCGAATTCTTTTAATTTCAATTTGAATTGCATTCTTTTCTGTGATGGTGATTTCATATGTCACCGTGTTATGAAGACTCTGAAAACATSTATGGTGGTGGTGTTTATGATTTTACTACTGATCAAAGAGGACTGGAAAGTAGAGTTTTTGTTTAAGTTTTGAGTTTTGGTTGAAAGGTTGAAGAACAGAGCTCTGTTGGTAGATATTGAATGTGGGAATGGAGGTGGGCATAAATTTTTGTGATAGGTTTGTGACAATAAATATTTGCAATCATACTTTATTTTGGGTTACTGTAAAATGAACAAAAATGGATCTACATAGGTTTGATTTTCCTTGGAATACATATGTGTGTTCTTCAAAATTTTCATTGTCATCCTAGAAGCTGTTGTTGTTGAGCCTATGATTTTATAATGGTTATCTTGTAAAATTGGTTATTTACTCGACTAAGATTTCATCTTAATCATCTCTTATTAATATGATTTCATAAGGCACACGAATAATAAGAATTATTACTAAATTAGAGTCGTCTGATGATTCATACTTTTCCAGTGTGGTTGAATATGTAATTGTTATGGTCACATAGATTGGTATTTTTACAACTTCAAGCATATAATAGAAGAAATGAAAGACAAGTTATATATTGATAGTCTATGCCACTTTCTGGGATTCAGGTATGAATGATTGAATGATTTTTTTGGTTCTTCTTATCCTTAACTTTATTGGATTCACAAAGTTCTTAGGTTAACAATTGTTTTTGCTTGTAATGTTTGTTTCCGGTTTGATTAAGTGGCTTTTGGTTCACATATAAATWTACAAAAGTTTAATAGAGCTTAACTGAGGTGCAATAAAGCTACTAATTTACTTGGCTCGAGTGAATAATTTGGAAGGATTCATTCCGTAATTTAGTTTACAATTTTTGTTGAGAAATTATAAAAGGGATAGGTTAATAGTTCTATTCATTGACCTTATATGTAGAGTTGGACTTGGTTATGTCAAGTTTTACTTTGAAGAAAATGAAATGTTTTTAACCTCTCTTATGCTAACAATTGGTAAGGAATAAGAGAGTTGGAGATTTAATTTTAAGCGTGATGAACTCAATACTTAATCATGTAATATAATATGTTGGTAGATTGAATTAAATCATTTTTTTGTTTCAGATGAAGTTACAGAGTAAAATAACTTACTTGCCCAAATGGAGTAAAAGAACTCTACCAAATTAGAGAAAGTCACTTTGGTTGGACCTGAGAGGACTGTTCAAGTTGCCTTAGTCAAGACCTCTATGTTGGATGATTTATAGAATAAAAATTAGAAGTTCATGAAATATATGGAGATTTGCCAAGTAATACTTATGATTATGATGCTTGATATTTGAGTGAGTGAGCCACTTCATCCATCATCATTTCTGTCGTTTTATAAGGTGGAATTTTATAGGTTTCTTGTCTATTTTAGGAAGAAAATAAAATCTTGGACAAGATGCATAGGTAGAAGTTGCAGACGTTGAAAAATTAACGTAAATTATGAGGGAACTAGAAAAGATTGTTCTTGCTAGTGATGCAACAGCAAATTATGCGAGGGATTACCAGTGCAGACTTCAAGAGATAGAATGTAATGTGCCTAAATATTTTAGTTAAAAGTGTCTTTTCTTTAACATGTACTACTTATGAATCTTGGATTGCATTACAAAAATAGTTGAGATTTATTTCTATGTCCTTCACGAAGAAAGGAAAAACTTGACGAAGAGTTACTCTTGCCAAAGTAACAACCATTTGACTGTACTTGTAGCAAATGAATGGAAAGATGCAATTGACAAGGTTATGCCACTAAAATAGACTATTGGTACTATAAACTTTTTACCATTCGAGTTATATAATTATTATGAAAATGCCTATAATTTACTTCAAACCCCTTTGTTGAAGAATCTTTTGGTAATTTATATYGTAACATTTGTACTTATTTAGTTCATYGTACCCACAATTGGAATTGTACATTCTCTTAAAACAGATTTTGAGAGAAGTCTTCTTTGAGGTTTCATTTCWAACATACATCTCCTTTCTTCTAGCTAGCAGGAATCTTTTTGGACACAAAAATTCTCGATGCATCTTCTCAATCATCCATGATAAGATATGCAAATGCAGTTGAATTATATGAATGAACTCCATGATCAGTGTATGCTTCTATAATTTATTTTTATCTTCTCCTCATGCATTTTTCAGCACATTCTCTACTAAGARATATCAATATTGCAAGATTTTTTGTGATTTKGTTTCGTATTAGTGATGTGAGTTTAAAAGGAACGTCCATTTTTTGGATTTCTAGCAGCTAAGTCATGGGAAGCCTCCTAATAATGGTCAGCTTTCTATTATTTCATCTTGAGACTTTTGTGCATAACTTCTTTCTTATGTTCTATCAGTTGCATCAATTCAAATATTTACATCATAATTTTCTATTCTCTTTAATTTCTTGTATCAACTTCATGTGGYTACGCATGACATTGTAAAATTTCAATTTTCAGTTCAGATACGGATGAATGGAATGAGATGCTGAAGTAGTGACAATGCTTGGTCGCCAAAATTATTGGGATTGTCTGATGAATTGGCAGATTTCCACAAACATGCTGATTTTGACGAGGTCTTGCAATTAGTACGACATCATTTAGTTATGTTTATAGTGGTGGTAGTGTTGGTGTGTTGCCCTAAACTTGTAGTTTGTATTTATGTAAAAACAAATATATATTCAATCAATTTGTTGTTGAATTCATAGCATTGTATTGTTCAAAATCCAATAAACTAAACATCCAAGGTTATTATCATGTAACCGGGACAATGTATATATTGGGTATATATATGATATACTGGGCGTAAATATTTGATATACCCTTCATATACTAGGTATATATTTGATATACCCCTAATATACAAGTGGATAATGTCYCGGGAATAACCTAAAGGRTCTATAATATATGGATAAGGCTGGGTACCTTATCYTGGCAACACTATGGATACGGCMCACTTTGTAAATATTACAGACGACTYGATCCAGGTCATTCGTGTGGAGACATGCGAGTGARGGTATCCTATACAATGAGTTTATATAAGACCRRACCGCGAAATAGYCAATCTTTAGATGTAACACCGTTAACTAATAGATTGTTATTTCTTAGAATGACCAGGCAACTCATTCTCAATCTTGAGTGAGTTATGGACTCCTGCCCGTGAGGGCTCGTCCTTYGATCTATATGGGTGAGAGTGGCCCGAGTCGCCGACTCAATATTCYTACCATTTTGGGGATGAGACCGAGTGGAGAGCTGGGAGCATAACTTCACAAGATGGAATTCACTCCTCCCCAACTTTAGGGAGTAGATGAGTRTTCTCTTAAATGCTGACTCTGGGATTTGAACAAGGGGCCCTACCCTCTCATTGGCCTGAGAGAGACTTCCCGTTATTGGTYGGACCATAATCGGGTTGTTCATTAGAGGAACAATAATATTTAAGGAGTAAGATGTAAYTCAGGGGTAAAACCGTAATTTGACCCAGCTTGAGTTACGAGCACTCGTGAAAGATTGACTCATTAATGGTAATATATCCATGGACCCGAAAACATTATGCAGTGAGAAGAGTGAACAATGGGTCTTTAGTGGAGTGACCCGTAGTTAGGAATGTTGATTAACTCGGTCAATGAGTTTGACTGATTAATCTCGCATCGTTGGAGGTTCTGATCTATAGGTCCATTATGTCYCCTTGCTWGCTCATAACGGGTAAAACGAGGATCAATTTTTTGGAAAATTTTGAAATGTTTAAATTGTTCAAGRGATTATATGTATAGTGATACATTATAATATATAGTTAATTCTAATTAAAACTATATATTATAAGAGATATTATTTGGATGAGATTCAAATAAAAATTAATATGAATAAGATTCATATTAAAACTATATGCTAAAAATAATGTGCATAAGATGTACATTACAATATTACAATTATAAGTTTTATGAGAGAAATGCTATGTAATATTATTCTATTTTCGTAATAAATAATTAAATGTTAATTATTTATTGGATTTATATATATATATATATTAATTGTTAATTAGATTAATAATTATTTATTAATTAATATGATTAATTAATTAAATATATATATATATATATTATATATATTATTAATTATTATTATTAATTAATAATATTAATATATTATAATTAATATTTAACTCCCCCCATTTTAGCGGGGAGTGGGCAGTTTAATGAGGTGGGGTAACTCCCCACATCATATGGTTGGTTTTTTCTCTTGAAAAGGACAACCAAGCCCAAAGAACTCTCAGCATCTCTCTCAAGCATTACTCTCTCAACTCTTCCTCACGTTTCAAACCGACGTTCCCACAAGCGAGATCATCGCACCCTGAGGATAGTAAGGAAGATCTTTTGGTAGTGTTGGGAGGATTCATTGAAGAAGAGTTCTTCAAAGGTAAGRGAAACCTTTTCTTTCCACTGTATTTTACTTTTGAACATTGAGTGGTTTTGTTTGTCAAAATTGATGAACRAAGATCATCGCTTCCGCTGCGGGATTCACATCCCATCAGGTAGAGACCCCTCTATAAGTCCGTTGTTGGAAAAAAAAAATTTCTATTTTGATTAATTTTGAATTTTAGTTTTATCTTTTGAGGTCYATTTATATTTATGTTTAGTTGTATGTGACAAACTTGTCGATGAGAGAGAGTATTTTGCTTTGCACAAGGGAATTGGCATTATATGAGGAGATACATGGGTTGCAACTACAAATTCTTAAATTCATAGATGGTCTATTGAAGGGTGTAATCGTCAGAAGGTTGATGAATTAGCAACGTTGTTTAGGATGTTTTAGCGGAGGTCGTGCTGAAATTTTGTCATTTTTGTTGGAGTTATGTTTGATGAATTAGAATTGAATCTTTATTGTCTATTGAGTTTATRCAAAAGAATGTAGTAGTTTATAAGTATACATGTTTTTTTTATTTGAGTTATGWTTGATAAATGAGYAGTAAATCCTTTCAGTTATCTATAAAATAGAATGTTGTTGTTTATAACTACAGATTTTTTAGGTAAGTACTTGCATTTTTTTAAGACTATTAAGATTTGTGCATAGGTTAATAAATGGGGAAAGAATTGTGCATAGGTTGAGAAATGGGGAAAAATGTTGGTTAGCCCACGTGATTAACCAACAATTTTTTTTAATTAAATTATTACTCAAACAATGGTGGCATCGCCCATCATTGAAAACCAACATTTGGTGACTGACATATAATCTCGGACATTCAATGACGGACGTTTAATGATCGACACGGTAGGCTACAATATCACTAGAATAGATGGCGGGCTACAACCGACATCATAAGTGACCGTCATTGTAGGAAACAATGACAGTCACCTACAATGGCGGGCCAGGCCCGTCATTGATACACGTCCGACATTAAAAAGCTACCATAACACTCGAAACAATGTCAGACGCATGTCCGACATTATTTCCCTGATTTTGTACTAGTAACAGAGATCGCGAATCTTCAATTGGAGGATTCGCAACTTAAAAGGAAGTGTAACAGAATCTCCTCTAACGAATAGGTGAGTTTGAGAGAATACTGATCTTTACTGTTCTTTGCTATATTCAACTCGGGCTGAGACTATTTAGATTTTCATTAGGGATAACGACAAGACTAACCCTTTCTTCAGTAAAAAAAAAATGATTTTTATCTTGCATTTGAAAACTTAAATTTTTTTATACTTTTGCTTATGTAATTTACATATTGCTCATTGTTACTTTTTTCGTGAGTTACTCTCTGTTATTATCTCTTCCCAGCACAACTCCAAAAAAAATCCCTCCCTCTTCGTTTCTTTCTTCCCGATCTTCATCTTCTTCTCTCTCCCTTACTCCCCATTTTCTTGTCCATTAAAACACTTAGATCTCATATTCTTTCTTTTTATTTTTTCCAAACTGATTAAAAAGTATAAAATTAATGTGATAATTTATTTTAATAGCAAATTCCAAGTTTAGAAGGAAAATTTTTCTGGAAAAATTTTCATATATTAGTGGGGTTTCCAAATCGATTAAAACTTGAATTTACAAAAAAATATGCTTCAATTTGTGGTGAAAAACTTGCAACCCATTTTCTAGGTATGAGAGGCAGCTAAAAAATGATAATTATTTTTTTATGATAAGATATTTAATGTGTATAATTTGTGAACTAAAAAACGAGAATAACTTTTTCTTTGATTTTTTTTCCTGTGATTGAGAAAAAGCAGTTTATGGGATTTGAAGCGACTATGTAGTCCGTGTTGGGTAATTGAGGAGTCAAAACAAATTCATTCGGCTAAGAACTAAGACCCAATTTCAATAGGTTTTTGCTAAACATTTATATACATATATATGTTAGCTTGGCCGTGTAGGGTTGACATGTAGTGTTGTTGCACACACATTGAGTTGCGGCCAAAATTGTATAAATCTAAGGGTAGCAGCTATTTGGCAAATTCCAGGACGAGTTTTTCGGATTGTAGAGCAACGTCGGCAACCGTTCTCGTGGGTATTTGGTAAGGTTTTTCATTCTGTATTTTTAAGTAGCTATTGTCGTAGTGCTTAGAAGCTAGGTGGACATTGTTGTGGCATCTAGAGAGAGCTTTGTAGAGCGTTTGTGAGACTTATTGTATTTATCCCAATATCATATTAGAACCGTTGTCGCGGAAGACTAGCCCATAGTTGGGGTGAACCAGTATAAATTGCTTGTGTCGTTACTTTGTTTTTCCATATATCTCTTATTATTGTGTGTGACTTAGTTTTCACTGACGAACTGTAGAAGGGGAAAATATTATTAGTAAGTAAATTTTCCCAACAAGTGGTATCAAAGCTATAAGGATCAGTATCATGGGATCCAGTGAAAAGTCACATCACTACTTCGAGGGAGTTTTAAGATTTGACAGGGAAAATTTCGGGTTGTGGAAAATGCAAGTGAAAGATCTTCTTACATACAAGAAGATACACAAAACCTTGAAGGAACGACAGGCTGGGATGACAGATAAAGATTGGGCGGAGATGGATGAACAGGCCGTAGCGATCATCAGGTTGTGCTTGTTAATGAATGTGGCAAGTCTCGTGGAGAATCAGAAAACTGCAATGAGATTGATGAAGGCGCTGACAGACAGATATGAAAAATCTTATGCCAATAGCAAGGTGTATCTCATTACGAGATATTTTAACATTCACATGGAGGAAGGTACGTCGGTGAACTCCCACATCAATGAGGTCACTCAACTGATGAACCAGTTAGAGTCGATGGAGATCACTTTCTCAGAGGAGGTGAARGCTATAAAGTTGTTGTCTTCTTTGCCTGACAGTTGGGAAACGATGAAGACGGCAGTGTCGAATTCGTTGAGGGACAAAAGTCTGAAATTTTAAGATATCTGTGACGCTGCAATTACTTAGGAGATTCGCAGGAAAGGAAGTGGAAATAATTCCACATTGACTTCTGGCGGTGAGAACCATTTAGAGTCAGCGTTGATAGCGTAGAGTAAAGGAAAAAGAAATATGAGATATGGGAAACGGTAGGGACATAACCAGAGGAGTGGGAGCGACGAGGTTGAATTTTTTACTGCCATAAAAAGGGCCACTTCAAGAAATACTACAGGAAGCTTAAAAAGGATCAGGAAAATGAGGACACTTTAAATTAC